GAGAAGAACCAGTCCTGTAAATAACAGTGACAGCCCCTCTGCAAGGATGGTTTGTGTCCTGCCCCTGTAATGGCTGAGGCCTTTGCAGATGAGCTTAGTGAAAGGCTCAAGTGATTGGACTATTTTTAAGTCAGACCAAGGACTGCAATGTTGGGAAGTTTGCTCCCAGTTTATGAAATCATGGATGAATGGTAGGAATGAGTTACTCTGCCAGAAACACTCAGCATGTAGTGGGAACAACAGCTTGGACACAAGTAAAACAAGGGTAAAGAAGAGCTGATGGTGGAGGTTCAGCTTTGTTCAAATAAAGCTCAGTGAACACCACGTGCCCAGGTCAGGATTCCCGTGGCTCTGAATGGCAGGGAGCTTGTTTTTCAGTGTTGCATCACGTTAGTTAATGTTTATGCTACTGAAAACAAGCAGGCCAGAGTTCTCTTTAAAAGAGATGCCTATAAGGGGTCTATTTCTTGATACAACCTTCACTGTTCATCACACACACTGGTCCTGTCAGTAAAATTACATTTTTGACCGAAGCGACAACAACCACTCCAAACCTAACCAAGAAAAAGAACATTTAAACAAGTATCACCTCACCTGGTTTGAGTCCGAGTCCATTTCAAGGCGTGGCGCGGAGGTACGGCAATCGTTGGATGGTAGAAGGTGCAGTCGGGTCGTGTACACTGGGTATTAAATCTGCAATGCTAAGAGGAAAGCACGTCAGCAGAGGCTGCTCCCAGCTGGACGAGCTGGCACAGCCTAACCCGGAGAGTGCTGCAGGCTGGCACTGCTGTGTGATTGCGTGGCCCAGTGCAAGCAGTTCGACCACTGACAAGGAAATCCCTTTCGAAAAGTATTAAGTTGGATGCTCCAAAGCTGCCACTGCATGCACTGGTGCAAGTTCCTTTGCTTTTCAGGGTTCAGTTTAGCTGCCACTGGTCTGTGTGTGCAAATTAGGAGCATCACACAGCCTGATCTGAAACAGGAAAAGCCAGAGTACCTGGCTCATAACACCTGGGAAGAGAGTCTGGGGGACCCAGTGCATTTCAGCTTTGTTAGGGCTTGAAAAAGCACTGAACTTACTGGCCTAAGAATATGCATGGTCACAACTCTATAGAAATACGAGTAATAAACTCTTGTACTCTATAAGTTATGTTAATATACTCCAGGGTAACTGGGCACCACATCTGAATAAAGACAAGCCTCTGAAGTGCATTCCTTCCATACAGGTTATGAGATGTGCTCCTCCTCAGCCCCCAGGCCTTGCCTGGGCAGATTTTGGCAGATGCCATGACTGGCTGCCTGTCTGAAACTGCCCAGAACCATCTGGTAGAAAGATTATTTAAAATATGATTTTTCCAAATTCTTTAAGTCAATACTTTTGCACATTCTGTTTCCAAGCTAAACTTAAAATGTGAAATTTTCTTTCACACACACAGCATGAACTGCCGGTAACACTTCCTGACCCCCAGTCAGTATCTTTCTAGAAAGGGAAGGAAGAGACACAAGATAATTCTTACTTTTGGGTGGTAAAATGGACATTCCATTTTCTTACAAGCAGGAAAAAACTTGCACAGTGGACTACTGGAGGGTATAGATGGCGTGGGCAGTGGTGCTAAAAGAAGAGGAGAACAGAACAGGAAGTGAACCTGGCTCAGAATAAACTGCTTTTATAACACACCTGCACACAAACTTAAATACATCAATCCTTCAATAGAAATGACGTTTGGTTATACACCACAGTTCTGCAAGAACAGCATTTGCAGTAGCACTGGATCATTGTTCTTCATCTAGCATGAAGAGCTGGAAGTCTGCTCAGTCAGACCAAGCAACTGGGTTTTTCCACAGCCGTCAGTTCCTGTTTTCCCTTCAGCATTTTCATTTAAAGCTCAGAGAAACAAGAGGTGCTCACCTGGCTTAGGAGGTGGATGGGGGATTCGCCGACTGGCGTGAGTGTAGGGACAGTCCGGCTTCGTGCACTTCGCATCGTATTTACAGTTCGGATGGATGAACAGGCATTTATCAGCGAATTTGCAGTTAGGAAAAACTCTGAGGAAAAAGAAATGGAAGTCATGAGCCCATACTCAGAGCGAGTTTGGTAGCAAGCCACTTGTTGCAAGTGAAGCTGCATTAATTGTATTTAAATTTTTAAATTTATGCTAAACGAAGCTTTCTTCTGCATGAGCACAGCTGTGGCTCTACTTATTAAAAACATCACCGTGTTCTGACACGTGGAAGATGGGAGAACAGAAACATTACAGTGTGATAACCTGGATTCGATCCCTCCCCTCACAGACTTACACTGCCTTGGAGTATTTACCAACACCGAAGGGGAATTTGTCACACCAAAGTAAAACTAACACGTGGAGTGGATGAGCTTTGCACTACTCACTTGCAAGGCAGTGTGGGGTGATGGTACACACATTCATCTCCGTTTTTACAGGCAGGCCAGTACTTGCAGCGCTCAAGCACCTTCTCCTGTTTTTGCAGCACGTTTAACTGCTCCAAATCCACTAGGAAAGAAAAGCAAAAAGAAAGCCAAGCCAAGCTGGGACCTTTATGATCCTATATACAATTTGGCATACATCATATAGCATAATTAAAACTCATTTGCCTAAAAAATGTTGTAATTTGAAGAATAAACACCACCACTTCCATTTCTTAAGAGGTCTACCCACAACCAAACCACCACATCCACGTCAGATCCTGTTTGTGCCATTACCATCACAGCTCTCCAGCTGCCTGGTTACAATTTGCATCTGCTGTGCTCGAAGGCCTTTTAATCCTTTGCTGGCGCACATATTTTGGGTAACTGGCTTCAGTCCTTCAGTTACACACATGTCTTCCTCCTCTTGATCAGACAGGTATCCTGGCGGGCTGGGCACGCCGTCCAGCGTCACGATGAACTTGGGACTCGCAGGTTTCTCTGGCTGTGCAAGCTGGTCTCTTGAAAGAACACACACAGAAACGTAAAAATAGGACTTCTGACTGGAGGCTGGGGTTAAACTGAGCTGCACCAGTAACCAGAAGTAGCACAAGCTCACCTATGGAGAGCCACGCAGTAACAAACCTTCTTTTAATCCCACCAACCACACTCTCCTAATAACAGTTTGCCTTCCAGTCTCCCTGAAGCACTAACAAGAAATACGGCTTTCAATGGCGTACAGCAGAGAATTTGGCAGGGACATTTCAGCTTGTTGCACTCTGCTCGATAGATCCAAAAGCTCATTTTACAGACACGGTTAAATAAAGGAAAATTGTTAATCTTTTAAGAAATTTACAGTTTTGAAACAAAAAAAAAGTGAGAGCAAATACCATTCTTGGAACCACGAACCTTTTAACACACAAAACAGGTCCCTCCTCTAAAGTACTAACCAGCACATGATGAAACAGAGCCTGTGAAAGCTTTTAGGGCTGCGGAGAGAGCTGAAACATTGACACTATGGACTCTGATGCTCAGCCTGACGGAAGGATGAGTCTGGCCCAGTACCCTCTGACAGCAGCCAATGTGGGTAAAAAGAGGGAGGATAAAACCAGAGGATGCAAAGGTTTTCTCTCAGCCAAGGGGTTTCCTGAATGGCACGGGATCCTAAACATTTGGAAACACGCTATGGAGTTCTCAAACAGCGATGGCAGAAATCTCTACAATTTCTCTATGAAAGCAGACTACAAGCAACTGCAGGGCAGAATGCCATTAAGAGAGAAAAACACCACATTAGAAACATCGCTAGCCAGAACTTCCAAATTCAAGCAGTCAGAAATGGATCTACTCGCATGCGAAAATCTACAGCTCCCCTGCAGCAGTCACCGTGACATTGCCAGGTTATCCTTTTGGGTTCGTTTGTGCACTGCTGGTTCTACCTTTAATTCATACGGGCTGTTTAAAGCCACTCTTGGGGAGGAAACATGAACAGTTTCCCAAATACAGCGACAAAGTACATCACGTTGTTCTCAGTGGTTTTTAACTCTAACAGGTAAGATATAGAAGAATATTTGGTAGCAGGACTATCAAGGCCTTTAACAAGTTAGGAAAATGACTGTGCACTGGCCATTGCTCCTCTGGGGAAATGAAAAGACATCCACAACCCATCACTTGAAGCGGACATGAACTTTACACTTCTCTTGGCCAAACACACCAGTAAGGTGCCTCAAATCTCTTGTCCCACGTGCCATGTAGGCTTACATTGTACCAAGCTACCTGCACGCAGGATGTGCTGTTTTACCTCCAGCACCGAGAGCTCAGGATCCACCATACTCAGTATCGCATTAAGAAATGTCATCTTGGGGCAAAACAGGTATAAAACTTAAGACATCTGAAGCAAATTATTACTTAACTAAGATTTCAGAAATCAGAGTAGCTATGGCAAGAAAGAGCCGTACTTTTCAGGTCCTTCTTCCTCTTCCTTGCAAGTCAATGATGTGCTCAAGCTACAGCTGACCCTGGGAATTATCTTCCATTTAGAGGATTTCTGGGAGTTGTTTTTCCCTGCGTTGTTAACTCAGTGTCAGACCAATTTCCATGATTTCACAGACTGGACTGACAAAGCTCAAGTCTGACTGATTCCAAACAAGCACTCTGACCAACAACAGTCCTAAAACAAACAACTTCTTACCGTGCCTGTATGAGGCGTCCTGAGAGCACTCGTATTGCCTCGGTGGCCCTCTTCCCCAGTTGGTGATTCTGCAGCATTATTTCCTCAGACAACTTGGGCTTCTTCAGGATAAAGGACCTAGTATCCGTATGGACCAAAGATTCTGCATCGTAGTAATCTGAATTGGAAGAAAAATTACAAACAAAGCAGAAAAATAGGGTTGTAGATGTACTCTTAACTTACAGTGTATTTTTTTAATATCAACTTGCATGGCCAATAAGCTAATTTTACTTTTTTTTTTAATTTCTTACTAGTAGCTGCCAGAAAACTTCGTTACTTCCTTGCTAATTCCAGGGCAGTGGATCAACAAAATATTGGCCCAGACAAAACCTCTGTTACTAGAATGGCTGTGCTGAAACAGCATTGAAACAGATCCACACAAACCCAAAATCTCTCAGGCTTTGAGCACCTACTGACAGAATGCTGTTATTCCTTAGAGATGTAGAAACTAGAAAATACTAGAAATCAGTGTAATTAATTGAAAAGGAAGTTAATTTTAACATTCGCTGCTCAGTAGTGTTCTATTTGAAAACTAGCATTAGGAATAAAAGATTTCAAGACTTAACCTTGAGTCACTTGCAGGTTATCTTCAATCACAGGATCAATCTGGAGCCGAGAAGAGAGTTCCTTTTGTTCAGCTCCTAAAAAACCCAGTAATTAGAAGCATGTTCTACATGTCACTTATGGTTTGAAAAAATCCACTTTGCTTTCCGCAGGTTTTCTAGGCAGCTCTCATTTCCATTTCAATGGCAAAAGAGCAAAAATATTTAGCATAAATACCTTCTGTACATTAACTCAAATACTGACAGAGCTGCTTCTTATGTGCTTTACAGATACATTTTCAACTATTTCATTTTGGCAGAAAGACTCCAAATACATCTATATGAGAAATAGAAGACTGATTTTTTAAAAACATAATGAATGTTTACCATGCCCTAACAATGACTGTGAGCTGATGTACTCAAACCAAATTTTACTCAACAACCTAAATATCTAAACACTTAGCAAGAGTAAACCAACTTCTCACAGAAGTGTTTCTCCACCACCTAACTTCTATGATTCCTTGTAACTAACACAGACACACGCACACATTTCTTTCTTTGCAACAAAATCATGCTGAAAATACACTTTGATTGCCTTTAAATGCTCTGCCATTTTCCTCCAGGAGTTTCATAACAGAAGTAAAAGCAAGCTTACTGTTCACATGGCTATCCTGGTTAACAGCTGCAACAGCAAATACAGTACTCCAATATTTGCACTAAAATAAAACATCACATCTATTTGTGTGATAACAACACATCAGAAAGAACCTTTTAGTACTTAATATGCTGCAAAATTAATTCCAATTGTACAGTATCTTAACTCTGTGTGTGTCTCTGTGTGTGTATACACACACACACACACACACACACACACACACACACACACACACACACACTCTTCTGATGCTGACTTAAAAATTCAAAGCATTTCTTTTTTCAGCTCAGCCTGTTGTAAAATGACATCTAGTATAAATAGATATGAAGTATATTATCAGATAACCTTGAATTCCTTCAACTGTCTGCTCCTTTGGCTCCTCTACTTGAAGCTGCGAACTCGGAGCGGGCAGTCTGTTTTGCACGTGGATGACTTCTAACTGAGATCCTTCTGGGCTAATTCGAGTTCTTGGTGCAACTGGCACAGTCTGTTTCTGTGGAACTACAGATCAAGAAGCAATGGTAAATCATTTACATACAACCCATCACACAACAGTGCTATTGTTACATATGGTGCTAAAATAACTAATAAATTCCTACACACAAACACAAATCCCAAGTACCTCCTTACTGTGAAAGCACAGAATATAACACTCAAGGACAGCAGAATCAGAGAATGATTTAGGTTGGAAAAGACCTTTAAGATCATCGAGTCCAACCGAAAACCTCACACTGCCAAGTCCACCACTAAACTGTGCCCCCAAGCACCACACCTACACCTCCTTTAAACACCTCCAGGGATGGCGACACCACCACTGCCCTGCGCAGCCTGCTCCAATGCTTCACCACCCTTACAGTGAAGAAGTTTTTCCTAACATCCAATCTAAACCTCCCCTGGTGGAACTTCCGGTCATTTCCCATTGTCTTCTCACTTGTTACTTAGGAAGAGAGACAGACACCCACTTTGCTACAACCTCCATCCAGGCAGTTGTCATTTGGGGGTAGCAGGACGACAGGTCAACTTCCTTAATTGGCATCTGCCAAAACCATCAGAACTGGTTGTGAAAAGCCAAGCACATTCCTCCCCTGGCTGAAAATCCCATCAGCACCTTACCTCTGGCACGTACAGCTAAAATGTACCGCTCAGTACTGGATTTATCCTTTACAATCTTACCGTTTTGTTTCACCTAGGTATTTCAAATAAGCTTATTTCCATATTCCATTCCCATGATGGAAAGCTCAACATGAGCTGTATCAACTACAACTCTGTACTTAAAACCACCGGAGTAAAATTGCAGCCTCACTGTTTAAAGCCAATATACCTGACATATCAATCAGTAAGTTGCTTGTAGTATTTAACTTCTATTACCCACACCCTTCTATTACTTACAGTGCATTTTGATCAACCAAATAGCTCCAACAACCTCCCTAATTCTGAACGCTTTCCCCTTGGCAAGTATCAACTTCAGAATACTTCTGGCACTTCTGTTTTGTAGCTATACACTTTACAGACTTACTATCTTGATTAATACATATAAAGTAACTCTTTCCTCCCTTGTTTATGCTTTTAAGTGCTATCTTTAGCTTGGATTTACGAAACAGGGCTTGGAAATACTATAGCTTAGCACAAACAAAAGTAATGCTAATTACCAGCGGAATAATTGGTTGTTTTTGTAACCGATTCCTGTGCTTCAGAGATTGCTTTCAATATTAAATTCTTATTGGCCTGTTTTGAAGGTGGCAATGAAGGCCTAAGGGAGATTAAAAAAATAATTGTGAATGAATTGCAACAGCAACCGTACCCATGTTAAACACAGATATTTCAACAGGTTAACACAGTTGTGCGTAATACTGATAGAAATAACCATCTAGAATCACTTTATCTGTATTTGTTTTCAGCTTGTTAATCTATTCTCCGAGTGGATGGGGATCCACAAAATGCTCTCAAAAACAGAAGTCCAGAGGCATGATTTCACATCTCAGCTTACGCTGCTGTAAAACCGTGCTGCATCTGAAAGGTGCAAACTCAGCCCTTCATCTCCTCCTACCTCTGCCCCTCAGGTGCCAGTTGCTACGTCTGTGCTGGCACGAGCAACTATGCAGCTGCCTTGAGGAGTAAGATCCAGCTGAAAACTGGCTCTGTCAAAACATTACTTGTAAAAAAAGCTGTTTGTCTTTGAACACCAACAATAAGGAAGTTTAAGTCAGATAAATGTGCTGTGGCGCTGAAGTTATAAATTCAATAAAGTGTATTAGCTTAAAAAACATCTTATACAAGTTAGCACTGTAGATCAGGAGAAACACCTCTTGCACAGTTTAAGTGTTCTTCCTCTCATTGCTGAAAAGCCGCAAAAAGCCACTGATGTACTTTGACTGACTCCTGATATTCAGACAGAATTAGGGAGCAGGAAAAAAAGAAAGACCTCTCAAGTCTTATGAAAAGTTAAAACCACCTTAGAGAGCAACTGATAATTGGTTTGAAAACTATTCCCAAAATAAAACCAAACCAATGAAAAGTCCTGGAAAATTCTTCTAACGCATTAAATACCTGGTCTGAAACATGCTAATGTTTTTTTGCCAGTCAACTGTTCCCAAATAGTGTAAAGTTTCATGTTCCACTGCAGCTTGTGCATAATAAAAACGGGTTACAAAATAAGAGGAAACAAGGTGGTGTAAACAGGTAACTCACCCACAGAGCTGTGAGATAGTACAAAAAGATAGTACAGAAACTCTTGTCAGTGTTCAAAACTGCAGTCAGTTATTCCCAACTTCCACCTTCAGAGTTTCTGTTCATTAAATTCATCCTGGAAACCACACAGAACCACTGAGATGTTAAGTACCTTCTTTCCGGCTTTGCGGGTACAGACACGCTGCTGGAGATGCTTCCTGTTCGTGACCCATAGTCTTCCTCCTCCTCCTCGTCTTCCCCATCATTACAGAACTTCTTCACTTTGACTACTGAGCTTACAACAGGCAACCGCCTCTTCCTGGAGCTTTCTTCCTACAACAGAGCGGCCAAAACAATCCAGTTAGCATAAAACATGTATTAATAAGGCAGCAAAGACCATACTGCAATTCTACCTATAGCCAGAAGATGGAGAACACCCACCCAAGCTGCATGAGTCTAGGAGTACCGCACTGTCTGCAGAAGCAAGCGACAGCACTAGAGAACATGAAAATTAGGCATATCTACACTGAAAGATCTCATTAAAAACATAACTGTAAATAGCATTTAGAAAAGGAGAAGAAAAAAGTCTGAAGTACAGACAATTTAACCAACATCTACAGAAAAAGCAAGTGTTTTCCAAAGAAATTCATACTATCCTTCAAGATGCACCTTGAAAGATAAGGTTGAAAGTCTTTCTGACAGAGACAAGTGAAATCAGTATGAGTGACTTTCTCCTCTGTATCAGCTCTAGTTTCAGACTACAGTAAGGATTAACTTCTAACAAGCTGACATATTCCAGAGGACACTAACAGACATGCAGCGACAGGATGTCCAGTTTAGGCAGTGCAAGGCCCCTGTCCTGACACAGTCACTCAGCACCACCACAAGGCATGTGGGAGTGACAAATTTAGATGCTAGGCTGCCTGAGAGCACAGGTGAAAGCACATGTCAATAGTTCCTGCAGAATCACCACTCAGCACTGGGCTACACAGGAGCACAGTGAGGCTATGCGGATGCCAGCTTTGTACACAGCACCATTTAAGTGACCAGATATCCTCCAAGGAGGATGAAATATCCTAAGGGTGGACCTTTTTCTAACATGTACATGGAGAGATGTGACTGTCATTCATCAACGACTGCTGTACAGCCTTAAACGAATCACTATATATATTCTGTTTCCTCATTCTCACTTCTCCATCTTAAAAGACAAAGACATCAGCACGTATATTTGTAAAGCATTATAGATTTCCAAATAAATTTTGTTGTCCTTTATAAAGAAGTAAGCAGTAGCAAAGACAGAGAACTATATAAGCAGTAACAAATACAGATGTTATGTAAAATCCCTGCTTCACTACAACATTAACAGCTGTAACAAGCTTAATGCCTGTCACAAAGGGCTCTTAACTGATTCATATGGATGTTCTTAAAACCATTAGCTAGGACTATCACCCTGCCTGCCTTGTTTTGGCCTTTAGACAGGGCAGCAATCACCTTTTAGTTTGTCCTTGTACAACACTCATCCCAAAGAGTTCTTAGACACCATGGTTCTAAATAGTATGATAATAGTAATTCTTACAAGCAACGTATCTGAGCTTTAGAGACTAACGTGTGACTAGCAGAGGTATGAATAAACAGCATCTCAAAAATACTGATTTACAGAACTGTTTAGAGCTGGAGATTTACACAGCACCTGTGGAAGCTCACGCTGTTCCAATGATCTAGAGATCAAAACTGTTATTTCTGATTCATCACGTGTATCGTAACAACGTGCTAACCCATTAGTCCAACTCGATATAGCAGAAAGATGGATGAGCTAATTAACTCTGAGATGCAGCCACCTGTCGGGTGATGATGTTAAACTGTGCAATCTCTTTTCATCAGTGGACCCCAAGAATGAAATCTCAAACCTAGTGGTATCAGTGACAGAAGTTCTTTGATTTCTCTGAGGCCAACGTATTACTGGAAGTGTACGCAGCAATTTAGGTTGCTAGCAAGTGTAAAATAGTGCAGTAGTTCGGACTGTACTAACCTCACTGCCTACTTTATCAGCACTAAGTTTGGAGGTGGGTCTGTAACTCTCTGCTAAGCTGCCAAACGCTTCTGGATTGCACAGCTGGCCTGTTTCCAAAGGCCTGCAGCTCTGGGTGTCTAACTGCCGGCTCCCCTGCGCGCTGCCCTGCTGTGACAATCTGTGCGCATGTGTGCTGCCATCTGCACTCCTGCTGGCCGGCGGCCGGTAGATTTCGGCGGAAGGCCGGGAAGAACCATAAGTTACAGTTACAACAGCTTTCTTCCGTGACAAAGGGTTCTCCTGCACAAAGTTTAAGTCTTCATCGATCAGATCATCTGGTTCAGGTTTAATGTCGATTACAGCTTCAGAAGGTGACAATTCCCTCAAAGGCTTGACTGTGGATGTCAGCCGCGATGCAGAACCATCTTCACAAGACTGCCTGATAGAGCAAGAAATTAGCAACTATTAGCTCAACTGCAAATAAAGTTTTGGAAAATGAGAACTGTCTTTTCAACACAGCCAGCAGGGAAGAGTCATTAAAGTATTACTGCTTATACAAGTCTAACACGATGATCGCTATTTTTAGTTTGGTTAATTAATCTAAGCCCATCTGTTGCTTAAAGAAATGGAAATGAACTCCTAATGTTTTTCATGCAAACTGCAGCAATGCTTTACTCTTCAAAACTACTTTGATCTTCCCAAGTATCTGTGCTCTTCAGAGTGACCACTACAGGCACACAACTGCTTATGTCTGGACATGTGTCAGTAAGGAACCAGAAGCTTTACCGTGAAGCAGTGCTCCTCTGCTCCTGCGAGCTGGTGGAAACTCTTGAGTCATTTCTTTCAGTCCGAGTGCTGGAAACCGCAAGAGGTGGCAAGGTATCCTCACGCCTCCTCTCATCACTCACACATGAGCTGCTTTTGCTGGAAGGAAGGCTGCTCTCAAAGATATTAGACTCTGAAGTTTTTACACTAGTTGGTTCTGTGGAGACAGGTACCTTTCTTTTTTACATCAAAGCACAGCAATGCAGATTTTGCAGTATAAGCAGCTATGAAACTGCAGATCTAAAAACTATTGTGCAGATCTGAAAACACAACAGGCTGAAAGCTGATTCAGCTGAAAACATCAGGAAGAAACACCCAGAAATAAATTCTGGACTGAGAAATAAATTCTTTATCTCAAAATAGAAAGCCATTTTCTAAAGAATCAGGACCCAAAAGACCATATAAATTAAAAATTAACAGAACAGCCACCCAAGACCTTTTTAAAAACGTTAGACACACACCTCTACACAGAAAAGATAAGCCTACTTTCACTCAAAATTAATATTCTTACTTACCAGTAGTGACAGATCGCAGCTTATCCAAAACACCATGGAGCCTGAAACAGAAGAGAGAGAGGGAAGGAAGCAAATGAGAAAAAGGAGAAATAAAAGAACTTTAAGTCACATTCAGAATAATCATCTTTCCCTTCCGATAACAAGCATCTAATTTATCCAAGACTTCACTTTCCATCAACTGAATCATGTTTAACCTCAAAAGGGAGGCTTTCAGTCTCTTGCCTCCAGTGACTCTTCATACATGCAGGTAGGGTATTCATCACATCATCTGCTTTTGGCATTTAATTGGTTTACATCATTAAAGCCAGTACTTTCCACTCTTTCACTACAATCAATGGTGTGAGTTGTGTCTTCAAAAGGAGTAATTCAAAAAACCTATGTTAAAAGCCTAAAGTATAGCCAAAAATTCTACTTTGTATATGAAACTTTAATTACACAGCAGAGTTAAGTATAATTCTAAATACAAACCTAAACAGTAGGCAATTCTCAGCACTTAGCACACTCAGGATTCTTTCAGCATGCTCTGCATATACCAACAATATTTTCTGACACAGGTTGTGAGCAAGAACATATTGTACCAGATTGGCTGCCTGCCTATGAGAAAGGCACCAAGTCGAAGCAATACAGAAAATCAAAAGGCTATAAAATAATAAGGCTGTTTAAAAATAAACACACATAACAGTGATCAGAAAGAAGAAAAATAAAATTAAAAATCCCAACACTTAAATGCATATCCTACTTGGAATTCAGCCTGATCATAGGCATCTCCATAGTTTAGGCTGAGTATTAGAAAGGAGTTAAAGAACAAAAACATACTGAAAACTGGGACAAGTAAGACTACATGTGAGTATAAGGAAGGCCTCACCTCCTTGTCAGTTTTCACTAGAACGCTCTTAAAAGTTCTGTCAACTGAGCTCTGCTGATGCATATCAGTTTACACACCGACCTGCAGAGAACTGTGACCTGACACTTGGTTCAGAGCAAGAAGTGTTGGCCAAGCAGCAGGACTGCCAGGCCTGCTGCAGAATTGCTGTCAAACTTCTGCCAGATGACCCCAAATTACCAGTCACAAAGACAAACCCAGGGAGGCAGACCTTGCTGAGTATTGTATTTAGCCAGACCCAATGTTTAGGAATGTATACATTCTGGGTTGCCTTTAGAAGAAATATAAGCATATAAAACTCCCAACTACAACGCTATTTAACTTTTTTCCCACCAGTTCTCTTACGGTTTATTGCATAGGTTTCATCTTGTCTTCTTTTCCATCATTCCTTTAATCAATACCTACTTTGTTACCTGGTAAAGCAATCTGACAGGTAGGTAGGTTTTGAATGCCTCCAGAGAGGGAGGCTGGAACTCAATGTAACCAGTCAGCATGAAAATTTCAAACTAAAAAAGCAGAAAAAAATGCAGTATTTCTCTAATCTATACAGAACAAAATAACGCTCCTTAAAACCATATTAGGTTAGAGACTCGGAAATAAGATTAACTTGAAAAACTACACAACTCTGAAAGCAAGAAAAATCTCTGGAGTGAAATACCCGTTTGGATACTGTGAAACATGGATTTAATTAAAGGTTTACACTGTAAGCCAAATTCAGTATTAGAAAATGTATGAGAAATATAATGGCTAAGGCTGTCATGCAGCATAGCACAAATTAATCCACCGTCAAGAGTTTAGAAAAGAGTTCATCTGTTGCTAATCTGTCCTGCTCACAATAATCTAGGGTTCTACTTTAGTTTTGCAGAGCTGGGTGGTGGTAATAAATAAACAGCCTGAGAGGTGGGAATACGTAAGCATTTGGTGCTAAGCCTTGTCAAAGACGGTACACAGAATTAGATCCCCTGCTCATCTGTCTTGATATAGTAATTCCCATGCACAGCGGCAATATGAAGCGCTATTAGCATAAAAGTGAAGAAATTTTTATTTGAAGAATTATTTTACATCTAACTACAGTGAATAACACACTCGTGCTCACAGCGGGCTTTGCAGGAATAGCTTTTTTTTGAAGTCAACATATGGTCCTCACTTACCTGGGCATTTCACACTTCATTCAAAAATTTGACTGGACTTATGAGCAAGCAAAGAATATAAGCCCTCTAGTCCTTTGCCATTTAATTATCATTGCAATAGCCTTTTGACAGACTAAAAATAATTTACTTATAAGGCCTGCAATTAAAAGTTTTGGTTAATGTAAATTACACAATGTGGAGACAAGTGACTTCTAAATTCTCAGGTTTCACTTATAGAAAGCAGTCCTGATTATTGATAACTGTGACAAGCAGCTTACAAACATACCAGACAGTAAACCTAACGGTATTGTTTCCAAGGAAAAGAGAAAGGTCTTCTGTCATCTGCTCCTGACTCTTCTTATTGGCCACCATAACCATAATATAATCAGGGAGCTCTTCATCTGATAGAAAGAGAAATATGTTGGTTTAATGCATAATAAATCATAAATGACATAGCAAACATCCTTAAACATATAAACACATTTTTTTTTCCAGTTTTATTATAAAGACTCGCAGGCAGAGGACTAGGTAAGCAAATCAGCAAGACTTTTACTTCCTCTGAGGTTCAATAAAAGTTTCACCTACAAGTGAGGGATAAAAATATCATCAACTTCACAAGAGCATAAACTGCAGATAAGATCGGACTATATAAAAAGTGAGTAAATAACACACAAAAAGGACAAGGTAAAAGAAAGTCATTCTGCTGCCTATATCCTTTTACTGGAACACTAACAACCATGTGCAATTTTCATCACTTCAAACGCTGCCAAATAGAGCATCTTATCCGTGTCAGATTTCCTGCAGTCACAAAGACCAAACAGACCACAGGACTGAGGTATTCTGCTTCCAACAGAGCACCATGTTAAGTTACCAGCTTTTACTGCTGTAAAAACAGCTGCTCTGGTGCAATATCCATTTAATCATGGATTCAGGGGGAAAAAAGTACAGCTGTTCACACTGCTCCTATCTCCCTCCGCAGAATCCAAAATCAAATCTCGCCCTGACTCTAAGATTCAGTTCTGTACGTTTCAGCATTAATTTAACGTAGCTCTTAGTTTTCCCCTTAACAGTGAAGCTCTTACATATTGCGTATTTGTCCTGCATAGTGTTTCTGACACAGCCATTGCACCTCCTAAAACAGTCAGCCTATCTCTGTCTTACAGTAACATCCTTTCCCTTAACTTTGACAAATGTCTCATCCTGAATCCAAAAGGCTGCTGAAAAGATGCCTAAGAAAGACTGACTCCACCTCAGCGTGCTCACAGGTAACTGCTGCTACATTTGCAAGGACATTGCTTTATAAAATGTTCCTCCTCGTGCCTCAAAGAAAGTTCGTTCAATATTCACAGACACATCACTGTTTGTTTTTCTTTCAAATCCATTGCCACCATTTCTCCCTGAAATGGGAGACTGTTAGCCACCTTAGTTCTTCATACGCAGACATCCACATACTGACTACTCTTGCACTTAAGGCTATACATCTTATGAGAAGTAGGTCTTTCTTTCATACCAGCCCAGCACTTCAGATAATTCATCTCCTACTTAAGGCTCCTGTACGCAGTAACACAAGTAATAACAAGTAAATGTGCTGTTCCATTAACGAGCTGCTTGTTTCTTATTTAACAATGAGCTTAAAGAAGACTGCTAAACACGTGATAAAACTTACCAACATAAGCCCCCAGCTCCTGCAACTTTCCTTTTATAGCACCCTAAAAAAAAAAAGAAAGAAATAGCATTTAGGGATGCAGGAACAAAGTATTTCTAACTTTAAAGCGGTGGGAGGCTTAGCAAAGTTTTTCTCATTTGAACACACTGGTTTAACATGTTACTTTTCCTATGGTCCACTGCCTGTGATATAAACAGTGTAACAGTGAGGGACCCACAGTAGAATAGCAGGAACTGTCAGGAATCTCGTACTCTCTGCCATGTTCCCTATATACCAGTTCCTGGTGCTACCAGGTTACCTCCAAGTCCCAGCTGTCCTTTTTTAAGCAGAGCCCACCTGGGCTCATAAAGTGCAAAGAAAACGAACCCCAAATGGCTTGATAAAAGGTCATTCCCGGCTCAGCAAATAAAAAGAAAACAACTGCCAGGATTTTCAAACCGTGATTGCTGACTGGAGCTGCTGACAAGACCTGACGCTAAGAGGGTCTTACACCACAACACCCGGCTACGGCTGCTCCCTCTCCCGGGCAGCCCCCGGTTCTGGGCCTGCGTCCCAGCCGGGCCGCTGAAGGGCGAAAACTCCAGCTCCGGGGGAGAGATGGCAACCGCCCTCCAGGGTACGGTAGGAGCCCAATGCCGCTTCCCAAAACAACGACTCTCCAGCTCGTCCCCCTCCCCGGGGAGCCCCGAAGGCCGCACGCC